GGATGGGGACAACGAGCCCGGGATGGGGACAACGAGCCCGGGATGGGGACAACGAGCCCAGGATGGGGACATCGAGCCCGGGATGGAGAGGAGCAAGCCCGGGATGAGGGGAACGAGCCAGGAATGGGGGGAACGAGCCCGGGATGGGGACAACGAGCCCGGGATGTGGGGAACCATGGATGGGGAGGAACAAACCAGGGATGGGGGAAAACGAGCCAGGAATGGTGGGGAACGAGCCCTTGCCTCGCTCAAAGCTCATTCCCATGCCCCAGCCCCACAGCCAGCCCAGCCCCGCGCTGGGAGTTAGATGGATTTTCCAGGATTTTCCCCAACCCCCCTCTGCCAAGTTCCCCTCCCGGACAAATTCTCCTGCCGGAGCGGAGCCGGGAGGGGATTTTCCATCAAGGCAAAGCGCCTTTGCAGCACCGCCGAGCCCTTCCGGGGGGAGGAGGAGATGCTTTAGAAAGCAGAGGCCAGCTCGTGGCTGGGCATTCACCCCGGAGCCCGCCGGGGCAGGGAGGAGGGGCCGGGAAGGTGTCGGGGTGAGCAGGAAGGGGAGCCTCGGCCCCATGAACCCCCCCAGTGTCCTTCCCGAGAATGCAGCCCCGGCACAAAAGCTCACCAGGCCGCTGCTGGCGGATAAAGGGCTCATTTTACCACTTGCCAGGCTCCAAATATTTCCAATTTGCCACTTTAATTGATGTCAATAAGGTTATGCTAAATTCGGAGATTTGGAGCCGCTCGGCATCTGAGCGCCGGCCGGGCCCCCCGAGGTGACCGTCCCCTGTCCCCGCTCCCCCCGCCCCAGCCCCGACACGACCGAGAGGCTTCAGGAACCCCCGGCCCTTCCCCTGCCAACCTTTTCCACCCTTAACTCGGAATTACCCCGGGGAAATTCTGCTGATCCCTGGCGGGAACGGGGTCCCCGTGTGAAGGGCACAGCCTCACCCCCAGCTCAGCCCCGGGAACAAATCTGGCATTTTTACTAGAAAAAAAAAAAAAAAAAAAAAAAAAAAAAAAAAAAAAAAAAAAAAAAAGAAAGGAAAATAAAAAAAAAAACACCAACAAAAACCCAATTAGTTCATCTGGTTCAGGTCTCAAAGCAGGAAGATTTTTTTGTGTGCAAATTCAATTACATTTTCCAACCGAGCGCTGAGAGGAGTCGGACCAGGACCTGTTACCCTTTAACTTTTGGGGGCAAAGGGACCTCGGATGTTGCAGCCCCTGAAGCTGCATCAAAGCCAGCCAGGGTTTGATCTGCTTCGCTTGGGGACCTTTGCAAATCTGACTTCCCGAGAACGGCGCTGTCCTCACGGCCCCTTTGGGAAAATCGGGATTTTTCTCCTAGTTTTCCGTGACCCCTGTGCTCGTCCCTGGCAGGGCAGCAAAATATCCTCAAAATCCGAGTGGGCTGAGTGGAGCTGCTGCGTTCTCCCCGTTCAGGGTTCCAGAGAGCCCCGGCGGGGTCTGGGGGAGCAGAGCTGGGCTCTCCCACCCCTGCGGGCGCTCTCCACCCCAAATCACCATTTTTGGGGCCGTTTTCCTCCCGCCCGGCCCCTGACGGTGCCTCGGTGTCTCTGCAGGTGATGAGCATCCTGAGCAACCCCAGCGGGGTCCCGCCGCAGCCCCAGGCCGATTTCTCCATCTCTCCCCTCCACGGCGGCCTGGACAGCACCAACTCCATCTCGGCCAGCTGCAGCCAGCGCAGCGACTCCATCAAGTCCGTGGAGAGCCTCCCGACCTCGCAGTCCTACTGTCCCCCCACCTACAGCACCACCAGCTACAGCGTGGACCCCGTGGCCGGCTACCAGTACGGCCAGTACGGCCAGAGTAAGTGCTGGGAGGAACTCGCCCGTCCCGGGAAGGGCAGGAGCGAGGGAGGGAGTGGGGGGTTGGATTTACACACCCAAATTCTGCCTTTTTTGGGTGGGAGACCCCTGGAAGTTTGTCCTGCTGGGACTGAAATCTGCTCATGGTTGCTCCTCCCCTGGCAGTGAGTCTAAAAATCACAATGAGACATTTCAGGTGATGTCGGAATCTGAGGTGTTGATGATCCCGAGGTTGTAGAAAGTCTCTGTGTTTCTGCCCTGTTGCCAAAGCAGAAGCCATAATTGGTCTGTGCTGGTTCCAGGTTGTTTATTCTGTTTATCTCTCACATGTTCTGCTGCCCTGCCCAGCTCTGTCCTGCAGGGCAGCGTGTGGGGCTCTGCCCTCAGTGGGATGTGACAAACATTCAATACCAGAAACTCCCTGGGCTGCATTTACAAGAACGTGCCAATATCTGTCACCTACGTTGGACAGTGTGTGCCCAGCCTGAACCAACAGAAAAATGCCAACACCACAGTGAGACATGGAGGGCATGAAGAAGGAGAAAAAGGACAAGACACACCCAATTTCCTCCATCTTGTCCCCTTTGGACCCCTAATCTAGAATCCTAAAATTTTACTTTTGCACCCATGCCACACTTAATTATTACTGATATCAAACACTCAGAGCTGGTAATTCATCCTGTGAGATTGAAAACTCTTTTCCATGGCCAGAGATCACAGCCAGTGTCTCTGGGGCTCTGTCCAGGGGGTTCCTGACCCTGCCAGGGTCCCAGGGCAGCCAGAGGGAAGCTCTGGGTTCCCACAAGGTGGAACCTTTCAGTCAGCAAAGGGCAGCTCGCAGCCCCTTCTCAGCTGCCCAAAAGCAGCAGGGTTTGGTGAGCTCGCCCTGCTCAGCCGGGAAAGGAGGGATTTGCAAAGCCGAGCTGAGCGTGGCCCTGCCCAGGCCGGGGCTGGGAGCTTTTCCTGCAGAGCAGTTCGGCAGCAGGGCTGGAGTGCCGAGCCTGCCCTGGCACAGGGACACCCAGCCAGAGGTGACAGGGACAGCCTGGCCAGGGTGACAGGGACAGTCTGCTCTGGGGGTGCTGTCCCTTTTGGGTGACAGGGACAGCCCAACCAGAGGTGACAGGGACAGCCCAGTCATAGCGTGCTGTTCTGGCTGGATGACAGGGACACCCTGACAGGAGGTGACAGGGACAGCCCGACCAGGTGACAAGGACAGCCTGGCAGGGGGTGACAGGGACAGCCTGGTCAGGAGGGTGTTGTCCTTTTTGGGTGACAAGGACAGTGTCGCTGGAGATGACAAGGACAGCCTGGCCAGTGGGAGCTGTCCCAGTTGGGTGACAGGGACAGCCTAGGACAGCCTGGCTGGGTGACAGGGACACCCCGTTCAGGGGGGTGTTGTCCCTTCTGGGTGACCAGAATAGGCTGGTCAGGGGGGCTGTCCTGGCCAGGTGACAAAGACAGCCTGGCAGGAGGTGACAGGGCCAGCCCGGCCAGGAGGTGACAGGGCCAGCCTGGCCAGAGGTGACAGGGACACCCGGCGAGAAGGTGACAGGGACACCCGGCCAGGAGGTGACAGGGCCAGTCCAGCCAGGTGACAAGGACAGCCCGACCAGGTGACAGGGACACCCTGACAGGACGTGACAAGGACAGCCTGGCCAGGAGGTGACAGGGCCAGCCTGGCCAGGAGGTGACAGGGCCAGCCCGGCCAGGAGGTGACAAGGACAGCCTGGTCAGGAGGTGACAGAGCCAGTCCAGCCAGGTGACAAGGACAGCCCGAGCAGGTGACAGGGCCAGCCCCGCGGCCGGGCCGCTCTCACCTGCCGCGGGGCGCTCACGGCGCCGCGCTCCCGCGGGGCTACAGGCGCATCCTGCGCTCCCGCGGGGCTACAGGCGCATCCTCGGCTCCGCTGCCCGCAGCGCTCCGCTGCCCGCAGCGCTCCCGCGGGGTTACAGGCGCATCCTCGGCTCCGCTGCCCGCAGCGCTCCCGCGGGGCTACAGGCGCATCCTGCGCTCCCGCGGGGTTACAGGCGCATCCTCCGCTCCGCTGCCCGCAGCGCTCCCGCGGGGCTACAGGCGCATCCTCGGCTCCGCTGCCCGCAGCGCTCCGCTGCCCGCAGCGCTCCCGCGGGGTTACAGGCGCATCCTCCGCTGCGCTGCCCGCAGCGCTCCCGCGGGGTTACAGGCGCATCCTCCGCTCCGCTGCCCGCAGCGCTCCCGCGGGGCTACAGGCGCATCCTCCGCTCCGCTGCCCTTTCCCCCCGGCCGCGGCTCCGGCCGCGCTGCCGCGGCCCTTTAATGTCCTTAACGCGGCCTCAATGCGAACCGGCTGTGGCGGCAGCAGCAGCAGCAGCGGCCCCCCGCCCCTCCTCTTTTTGTGGCTCGGGAGTTTGATCCGTGACCCCTCGACCTTCCCCTCGCTTCTGCACGCGGGGCTGGACACACGTGCTATTGATAAAAATCTTAAACAAATTCCGATACCATGGATTTCCAATCAAGATTCCCTCGGGCGAGGCGTTAGTCACACCCACGTGTGTAAAAAATAAAACAAGGGCGGGGGGGGATGGAGAAAGGAGGGTTTGTCCGGCCTCGCCGCAGGAATTTTGCTCGGGATGCTCGCACGGTTCCTGTCGCTCCCCGGGCCGGTTTCTGTCACCCCGCTGGTGACGAGCTCCCCGCGCTGCCCCTCGCGTTGACCTTGGAGCTCGGAGGTTTTTCCCTGCCTTTCCCCGCGCCTCTTGCGCTCTGCAGATCATTCCAGTTCCTCCTCCTTCTGGGCTTCTCTCCTCCCTTCCAAGTCTGTTGGAGCGCGCGTCGGTGTGAGCTGGCCCGCGGGGTCCTTTGCTCCGATCAGGTGCTCCTTCCTTCTCTGGTGCGACACGACACCATCAAAACTATTTTTAGGGGATAAAACACGTTAATTGCTTAATACAAAGTATCGGTTTGGTTCTATATAATGTAATGGTGTATATAATATTATGTAGTTAAGGGTATATCATGGTATTTATATACAATATAATAGATAATATGTATTATGAAATTATAAATGTTATAAATTTAAATATTTTATCATTATAAATAAAATTAAATTTTATAATTTTATTTTATAAAATAATATATAGTATAATATTCTATAATATTCTAGATAATATTCTATATATTACATAATATATAATATATAATATATAATATATAATATATAATATATAATATATAATATATAATATATAATATATAATATATAATATATAATATATTATATATAATATAATATTTATAATATATTATGTAGAATAATTATATATAATTATCTATATAATAGATATAAAATAATATATAATATATAATTATATATAATAAAATATATGTATTATATAGAATGGAATAAAATTAGATATACATATAATATATATTATTATAGAGTATAATGACATTATATTTATATAATATATAAATATAACATAATGTAATTAATACAAGTGATATTTTAGGAATGGGGGTTCTGGGGTTGGGGCAGGCTCTGTGTGACAGGGGACAAACCCTGGATTTTGGGTGGTCTCTGGACCTGCCCTGCAGAGAATCCCCCTCCTCCCACTTCTCCTTATTCCCAGTTTTCCACAAACAAACCCGGCCCCGATTTCCCTCTCACTTAAACAAAATAACCAACACCTTCCCTAAATTTCTGGGTTTATTTTGACTTCTGCCCCACTGAGCCAACAAACCCCATCCCTGAATTCTGGCCTGGGATCCCCTGGTGCCTGTGGGGAATTCCAGCAAGGAATGTTTGGGGTTTTTGGGGATTGGCTCCTGGCAGGAGGCGGGAGCTGGGCGAGCTCGGGCTCTGCTGGGCACAAGGAAACGGCCTCAAACGGCACCAAGGGAGGCTCAGGATGGATTTTGGGGAAATTCCTGCGTGGAAAGCGGCTCAGGCAGGCATGGGCTGCCCAGGGAGATGCCATCCTCGGAAATATCCCAAAAAATGGATCCAGCGCTCGGAGACAGGGAACGGGGCTGGGCAGTGCTGGGTTAAGGTCTGGATCCGATGATCTCGGGGGTTTTTTCCAACCTCCGTGACCATTCCAGGATTTTGTGGGCTCCACCTGCTCGCCCCGCTCCTTCCCCCAGGGCCACCCAGTGCGGGTGACAGCGGGGACAGAGCCACCACCAGCGGTGAAATCCCTGAAAGAGCAGGGGAAACTCGGGCTGAGAGCTGCGGGAGGGAGCCCCTGGCAGGTGGAGGGAGCACACGCAGCATTCCCGAGGTGCTCCCGGTGGGTTATTGTCGGAATCTGCGGTATTGATGATCCTGAGATTGTAGAAAGTCTCTGTCTGTCAGCCCCCTGCCAAAGCAGAAGCCATAATTGGTCTGTGCTGGTTTCCAGGTTGTT